ACAAATCTATCTGACTGACAGGTAGATTTAAATCATTTTGATAATACTCAGGGTTGCCAAGAATGTGATGAAATAAGAACTCTCATACACTGGGACAACCTACATGAAAACCACTTTGACATTTTCTGTAATGTGCACAGAAATATATCTCTGTTTAAGATAAAACAGAGTAGCATGGCTTGCAATTGCAAGTAATAGAAAACAACCCAATAACCTATGAACTAAAAACTGAGTGGCAGCTGTCAAAATGAGGAAGAGCTCTGTGTTAATGTGGAAAGTTTGCCAAGATATATTAAGTTAACAAAAAGTGGATACAAGTTTGTTGTATTGTTTGTACTTTTTGGACAAAAAGGCAAGATGGAAATATCTTTATATTTGAGTTTATGTGCATAGAAAAACTCTGAAAAAATACACAAGAAATTCATACAAATAGTTTTCTATAAGCAATAGCTGTGGTGAGAACTAAACATAGATTAACCTGATCTTTCATTTTATATCTTTCATATTGCTTGAATTTTGAACCATATGAATGTTACCTATTCAAAAGTGCAATAAAATATAAATAGATAAATAAATATGCAAGAATTAAGTAGATCTCACATATTGACTTGGAAAAATTTCCATGACACGTCAATTGAAAATGTCAGACATTCCTGGGGTCTGGTGGAAGGAAAGTTCAAGAAATCACAGTTTCCACGGGGTGGAATTGCCAAGGACATTCCAAGGATCCTGGGACGACAGACAGGAACAGGTCCTGTGGGGAGAGTGATTTGAACGGACAAGGAGATTGTAAAGGGCCACTGGTTGGGCCAGAGCAATTTGATCCTAGTGGCCCTGGGAGGGAAGAGGGTTTGTGATCTTTCTGCTCTCCTGCTCTGCATTCTGGGAGCAAAAGTGAAGAAGGGGTACAGCTGTCATGAAAAACGAACACTAGGCCCAGCCATACCTGGTGGCTGAAGGAACTCCCAGGCCTCCTTCCAGGTGAAGACAAATCTAATGGAGAATCTAGTTCTCATATTGAACACACCTAGTCAGGTTAAACGTACAAGACACAGGAGTATTGCTCAAGGGGGAGAGAAGGAATAGAACCCTGTTTACAAGTTGAGCGAGCATCCAGCTGACGGCTCTTTGTCTGCTAAGGGAACTCCTTCTTATGTAAAGAGGAAGGAGAAAGCAGAATAGAGCTGGGCGAGCCTGTGTGCACCTGGGACAGAGAGAGGCTGTCTGACTCTAGGGAACCAGCCCAGGAGCCCAGCTGCTGGCAACCAGGTGCTTCTAAGGACTGCAGGTAAATGCTTAGGGGTCTTCACTGTACTTGCTCTTTGCTGACTGACTTATCTCATAACCAAGCGAGACCCACACTTTATGTGGTCCCCAGAAAGGTTCATACAACCTGGACAGATTGGTAAGAAATAATTTTTCCTACCCTTAAGAGTTACCTCAGGCATTCTGCAGACTTAGGTAAGTAAACTCAGAAGTAGAGGCAATCAGGCAACTGAGAAATTGGAACATCCAGGCATGTGGTTTGTGAATATGGGTGGACAGAGTCAGGAGCCCTGGGACAGAACTTTAGAGATGGGGCTCTGCTGCCAGTTCCTTAAGTGCAAGGTGTAGAGGACAATACCGACTAAGTTGTTGAACATCAATTGCTTTTTCTCATCCACCAACCCTCACTTTTCCCCCTCAGTACCACTGTGTGCCCAGATCCTGTGTGCCCAGATCTGGGACAGAAGAGTATGCTAAAGTTGTGTTTTGTTGAGGGCCAAGTGTTGGACAACTTAAACACCTTTTAGGAGTTTAATATGTTGTCACAGATCCAGCTGCTATCTTGGAACAAACACATATTATGTGCTAAGGACTAGGATCAAAGTTTTATCTTTAAAAAAAAAATCATTTAGTTCTTACAATGACTCAAAGAATGAATCTGAGACTCAAGGAAGCTAAATGTCCAGAGATCCCCTCTGCTAAGAAGGGGTGAGACCTAGGAGGCTGACTCCAAAATGTTCAGATTTTGTTTTTCTTCTCTATTGATTTCCACCTCCATTTCTGTCACTCTAAAACAACATTTTTCGAATCGTGGTTCTGGAGCAGTGGCAGCAACAGCAACTAGAAACTTATTCGACATGTAAATTATGGGTCCCTACCCTAGGCCCATTAAATCAGAAACTCTAGGCGTAGAACCCAGCCATCTATGTTCTAATGAGGCTTCCAGATGATCCTAATGCCTGTTAGAGTTTGAAACCCTCTTCTTTAGGGGTTACTCTTAATTGTTTAAGAAAATGATTAAACTTAAATTTCTCGCAAACATCTAGTCAACCTGTAATTATAGCCTCCTTAGCCCAAGTTTACTTCACATCACTTAGCTAGCTTCTCATGTGGGTATCATACAGGATTTTAGTTTGAATTGCCACTGAATATTTTTATACAAACAATGAATATATTTTTATTAAGATATATTTTGCACACAATAAAAAGGCACAGATCACAAATTTGGTGTTTGAGTTTTGACAATTGTCATCTAACTACCACTCCAAACTATGGAATATTTTCATCCTCCCCGTTCCAAGAAACTTCTATTGTTCCTTTCTTGATCTTCTTTCACCTCTCTCTTCACACCTATTAAACACTGATCTGTTTTATATCACTATACTAGATTTGTTCTTTTCTGGAGTTTTATATAAATAAAACCATGCAGTATGTGATCTTTTGTGTCAAGATTTTTTCTGTCAACATAATGTCTATGAGAGTCATCTACGTTGTGGTATATATCAGGCGAGTGTTCCTTTTTACTATTGAGTAGTATTTCAGTGTAAACCTGTCATTCCATCAACTTGTTGATAGAAGTCTGGGTTATTTCCAGATTGTGGCTATTATGGCTCACACTTTTTTAGTTTCAGATCCAGCTTCATACTTGAATGATGGTTGCCTGGGTTTAGAACTCTTGTTTATTTTCTTTCATCATTATAAGTTACTGTTCCATTGCAGTCCATCAGAGTTGTTGAAAAGCCTAATATCAATCTGATGATTGCATTGTTCCTTTATAGGTAATCTGGGTGGTTAGTTTTGTTCTCTCTAGGAGATTTTAGAATTTTAGTTTTATTTTGATCTACATTTTTACCACAGTGTGTTCTGTGTTATACATAATCTGGGTAATTTCCTTCACTCTATTTATTTATTTCACTAATTCTCTCTTTAGCCATGTTTAATCAGCTATTGAGTCCATCTATTAGCTTTTTAATTTTAGTGACTATATTTTTAAAATTTCTAGAATAATCTTTGGTTATTTTTAATATGTTTTTTCAAACATTCTTTTATTTCTTTTTTATGCATTTAGGTGCTTTTTAATTTTCTTTACTTATTTTAAACATACCTTTTTTACAGTCTGTATCTGATCATTTTATTATCTGAAGCTCTTAGAAATCTGATATGACTCTATGTTTCATCTAATGCTTACTCTTGGTGGATTAGTTCTGTGCATGTGTTGCAATTTTGGGTTATGAGCTCATGTTTGGCATGGCTTTATCACAGATAATTCTGGTTGACCTGGTTTTAAAGGTGTGTTCTTCCACACAGTTTTTTCATTTACTTCTTCCTGGCAACTTCAATGTATTATAAGCAAAAGATTTTTTAAAATTTTAATATCTTGGATAGCAGTATGTATGAATGAATTCAAACCTCAAATCAGGATCAGAGGAAGGCAAAGTTTTTGTTTTTGTTTTTTTAACACATGTAAATACCATGCCAAATAGACAAACTTTGTTGTCTGTTGTTGCAGAGTTTGACTAATTCACACTCTCATTGAGGGAGTAGCCCTTCAAGTGTTCTGGCTATATGCTGGCATCTCAGTTTCAAAATCATGACTTACACCAGAACCAATGCTTCCTCTCTCAATGTCCATTAAAACCCAAGTTTCTGGCTTACTGCAATTAGCAATCCCTTTCTTGTTCCTTACCAGGATAGCTTTTCACTACATCCTTGCAAGGAAGGCCTGTGGGGTATTCAGTTGGGGGCAGGATGAACTGTGTGGAAGCCCTTAAATCTGAGCCTGAAGGGGAATACCCACTTCTCCAGCCCAAGGGGCTAGTGCTCAGGCTACAGCAGCTTCTGGCTGGACCTCAAAGGATGAATTCCCAAGGTGTCCATTCCTGCTACCTTCATTCATCTTCCATTTATGGTAAAGTTATCCCTTATTCACCCCTTCTCTTTAAACTTCATTGGCCTTTGACAATAGCTGGGCCAATTTTTTTACTGTCTTCCTGATTTCATATGTTTACTAAAAGATAAATGTGCTGTTTTATATCCCTCAAACCACACACAGTCATTTACTTAGATTTCACAACACAAGAATACATATATTGAAGCCTCAAAGTGTCATCGTCAAAATTGGTCTCACTCTGGGTATTCATGGTATATCTATCTCAGCTCACATCTCCATTCTTCAGAGTAAAGATGTCCCTATTCAGACCCCACATTTCAAAATATCAGAGCAATAAACTAACCCATTTTCTGGCCCATTGGGATAGGCAATTTGGAGAATAGCCCTGAACCAAGGGTCCTTGTTCAAGCACCATCTATGGCCCCACCTCGGTCCAAATGATCCTCAGTTTGCTCCTGGGTTCTTAAAGCCTGGCCAGAAGTGCTGGTTACATGACTAACAGATTCTAGGTTTGAGGCCTGGGTATTGGCAACCCATAATACATATGGGATGGACACCAAGTGTTTGTTTTCCTCAAGTGCTGGTTGTAGCATTTCATGTAGGGCCAGGGGCAGTGCTGCCAGCCAAAACTGAGCTGCTCTAGGGCCCTGAATATAGTGGAGATCACTGGGACGCCCACGCCTGGCCATACACGGACTTTGTGCCTGGTTTGCCCCTGGTCCCGCTGAACTTTGCAAAGGAAAGCTCTTTTGAGTTGTGCTTATGACCTTTGAGCCTATTATCTTCAGAGTCATAAACCTGGTCCACCAGGCTATAAAAGCAGCTCATTTCTAATACATTCTTCCTGCAGCCTGCTTCTTGACATCCATCACACACTCTCACCGAACCAGAGGCTGTCACGATGCCAAGGAACCAGAATGGAACCTGGGAGATGGAGAGTAATGACAACTTTGATGGCTACATGAAGGCCCTAAGTAAGAGGGAGGTTGAGGTAAAGGTGGGAAGCGAAGGGGATGTTGGGAGGACTGTGGTCTGACAGTGCCACTATGGAGTTCAAAGAACCTGTGTGCAAATCCTCACTCCTCGTGTACAGCTGTGTATTATCAGGCAGGTTATAAAAATTATCTGAGACTGAGTTTCCTCATCTGCAAACTGGAATAATGATAAATGAGATTAGGTCTAGGATGTCCTTAGCACAGTACCTGGCCCAAAGAAAACACAAAACAACCAAACTTGGGAAGATAACACAGTTGCCTTCTGCCTTGTGACCACCATCTCTTTGACAGCCACTTGGACCTGATGTTACCCACCAATGACCCCTCATTGCTCTTTTGTCAGTCTGGCAATGGGAAGACAGAAAAGGAGTAGCTAGCAAATCTCTCCGCTGGGGAGAAACAAGGCCCATAGAAGGTAAGCTGTCACACAGTTCAAACAACTCACTGTTTATCTGACTTCTGAACTGGGCTCCAGGCCAACAGCTACCAATCAGTGTGTCTGGAGTTGACTACAGGTGGGTCTCTGGTGGAGCTGGCAGATAACACGTAGCCCTGCTGAGCCTACATGAAGCCAGAGTGAGTATGAGTTCACAGTTGCTGGGCAACCCTGTGTCCTAGGCACAGCAAGGAGCTTTTGTTGTCTGTCCTTATTCCACCCCTTCAGCAGTCTTTTAATCCCCCGATCCAGCTTTGCAGTCTTCCATATATGAAGTGTCTTCACTGGAACTCCCTCCACCTCCCCACCCCCCGCCACATAGGATGAGAAAAATGGCTGTAGGTGGGGTCAGAGGCCCAGTAACTTGGATATGATGGTGGAAAGTCTCTCCAAGAATGAAAGTCATGGTCTTTCCGTGCAATGAACTTCTAACTTGAACGTTTCACCACGTCAATGAACAAGGAGAGCTGTGACGTGTTTCATATTTACAGAGCTTAGCACTTTCTTCATGTAATGTAGACATGCTTCCACACTGAATAGAGCTTTCTTTTTCATTCTGGTTATCCAAATTTTACTTCAGCATACTTGGTGGGAGAAAGGAAGAAGCAAAAGTCCTCCCACCAGAGCTCCAACCTCAACCTTGTTGCATCTGTGTTTTTTAGTATCATGGGTAGAAGTAGAAAAGGAATTCTGAGTCTACATGTGGGCAGATGGTTTGGAACACAGCTCAGAACTATAATTTCAAACAAGATATACAGATGAGGAAACCAAACCAGAAGGGTCAACATAGCTAGAACTAGAGCCCAGGACTTGCTTTGGGACCTTGAACCAGTTGTGTGTGTGTGTGTGTGTGTGTGTGTGTGTGTGTGTGTGTGTGTGTGTGTTTTAACCTTTTAGAACCTCAGTTTCTTCATCTGCCAAACAGGGATAATAGCCCCTGCCTTGCCTGACTTCTCAGGTGATGTTGGATGTCATTACAATTTGGAATGATTGAAAGTGCCTTCACAAGCGCTGTTTGAAAGATTCAAGATTTCAGCAGTGTGTCGAATAAGCCAGACTTGTGTCGTACAATTAGAAAGCAACTTTAGGTTTTTTGCTGCTTACGCTTAAATAACAAAAAGTCCACTGGTGACATTAATTAGGCTTAAAATTCAGTCTCAATTTAGTTTAAGACTCTGCAGGGTAGTCTGCTAAAGCCCATCTCTAGGCTTAAAGTGGAGGAAGGCAAGCATTCCTACTTCCTTCCCTTCCGGGATATCTCCAGGGAATCCTCTAATAGCAGCCTTCCTCTGGTTCTGTCACACCAACACCTTCAATGTGAGTGAGGGCTCACAAGTGCTCACAAGTTGTGAATGTGGCATTTGCATATCTCCATTATTGAGGTTTGGGATTGGCCTTTTCTAATTCTCCTTGATATCAAATATTTCTTTTTTCAAATCTAAGCCAAAACTTCCAATTTAACATCATATTGCATTGATTTTACTCTAATGAGCAAGCTGTTTGATCTCTTTGTACCAAGGTCTCTGCAGTGTAGAGAGTTAGGCTGACACTTTGCTTATTAAGATTAATGCTATAGGTGGTAGTACTAGCTAAACCCAGAATATGGACGTGCTTGGTGCCTGGCTCACCCAGCCACTGACAGCCCAAAGTGTCTCAGGACCCCAGGAACTTGCTCCAGCTCAAGCCCATGATGCACTATGCAGAAATGCTTGATCCAGAGGCACCAGGGAGGTGGGACTCCTAGTCCCTCTCACCTGCCCATGGGAACATGGGTGAGTCAAGGACTGGCAGTAATTGAAGACAGGTCTTAAGGGACTCAGTCAAAAGCAGGCAAGGTGGGACAGTCTCCCCCAGTCTAACCTGCTAAAAGCAGCCCAGGGACAGTCTCCCCCAGTCTAACCTGCTAAAAGCAGCCCAGCATATCTGTACAATTTCCTCCACACCCAGGCCATAAGGCAGGGTGGCTTTCTCAACACTCAGAAATCTATGGAGCTTGCCTTCCTTGCCCTTTTGAGCCCTGAGACCCTTGGCATTTGGGAAGAACATGTGTAAAGATGTTTGCAAATCCCAGATGTGTAAATATCATTCAGTATGCCACCATTCCCTATGAACCGTCAATGTCTTAGACCTCAACACCTAGCACTAGAAACTTGACTTTCTCTGTGGGCCTCGTTGCTGGTTCAGTAGGCAAAGAGAAACTCTGTTAAGATGTGGGTCTGGGCAGCAAAATGGCTTTGTCACTAGCCCAGTGACTCACTCCACACACTGGCTTCCCATGTGACTCCACTGCCAGCTTCAACAGAGTGACACATCATGGCAACCTTTGGGTTGGCCTCAAATTATCAGTCATTAAGAGTTCAAAGGGTGAGTGGGGGAGTTAAGGGTCGATGATTCCTCCTCTCCTACCTTCTTAGGCACCTGGTGTTTCTTAAGACTCTAAACTCTTTTTTGACAGCAAGGAAAGCAGTTGGTAAACTCTTCTACTCTGAGAAATCGGTCGTGTCCTGGGGTCCTCCTTCAGGTCAGATCAGTGGATGAAAGAGTGGGAAGGGCAGTCTTCATTTTAAAGGGGAGGCCAAGTGGGACAGATACAAGGAGGTCGCAGTATTGTGAAAGAACACTGGGGCAGAGTCCATTAACTCTACCCATGATGTGAATCATTCAACTCCTCTACCAAACCTTTAGAAGTGGTTCGTGGAAGCAGGAACTGTGCACCATCTGAGGCAGGACCAAACCTGGCTCTCAAGAAGCTCAAGAGACTGTGGACAGTCAAGTTACAGTTTTGCACAAATGGTGTTCCTGGGTTTTTTGGTTTTTTGTTTTATCATTACTGTGTGATAAATTACCCCAAAACTTAATGGTTTACAAAACAAAAAACAAAAAGCGGTCATTTAATTATTCTCTCTCACAGTTCGGGGTTGACTGGGTTCTCCTAGGTGGCTCTTGCTCAAGGGCTCTCCTTTGAATGTGATTGGACAGTCACTGGGCTGGAGCCATCTCAGGACTCCTCACTCATGTATGTCTGGAAGTTGGTGCTGGCAGGCAGCTGAGACCTTAGCTGGAGTTGACAACGTCTACATGTGGTCTGCACACGTGACCTGGGTGTTCTCACAGGATGCTGGCTATGCCCAAAGAGAAAGGGGAGAGAAGCTGCATGGCCTTTTATGACCCAGTCTCAGAAATTACCAGGCATTGCCAGGCTTGATGGCCCAGCCTGTAATCCCAGCTCTTTGGGTGGCTGTGGCAAATGGATTGCCTAAGCCCAAGGGTTCAAGACCAGCCCAGGCATGGCTAGACCTCATCTCTGCAATAAATCAAAAATTAGCTGGGCACGGTAGTGTGTGCCTATAGTTCCAGCTATGTGGAAGGCTGAGACAGAAGGATCACTGAAACCCAGCAGGTTGACGCTGAGGTGGCGATGAGTGTGCCACTGCACTCCAACCTGGGTGACGGAGTGAGACTCCAACAAAGAAAGAAAGAAAGAAAGAAAGAAAGAAAGAAAGAAAGAAAGAAAGAAAGAAAGAAAGAAACAAAGAAAGAAAGAAAGAAAGAAAGAAAGAAAGAACCAGGCACCACTTCCACTATATTCTTTGGTTGAAGTACTACAAGCCTACCTGCATTCAAAGGGAAGGGCAGAGACCCTGCCCCTCAGTGGGATGAATGTTAAAGTCACATCGTTAGAACAGTGTGTAGGGGTAATGTTGCAGCCATTAAAGAAAGTATAATCTGGCCAAGAGTGGTGGCTCATGCCTATTATCCCAGCACTTTGGGAGGCCGAGGTGGGAGGATTGCCTGAGTCCATGGACTTGAGACCAGCCTGGACAACTTGGTGAGACCTCATCTCTACAATAAATCGTGGTGGTGTGTGCCTGTAGTTCCAGCTACTTGGAAGGCTGAGGTGGAAGGTTTACCCAAGTCCAGCAGGTTGAGGCTGCGGTGGCCATGAGCATGCCACTGCACTCCAGCCTGGGCATCAGAGTGAGACTCTGACTCAAAAGAAAAAAGAAAGAAAGAAAGAAAAGAAAAAGGAAAAAGAAAAGAAATGAAGAGAAGGGGGAAAAAAGAAAAGAAAATATAATCTGCTATAGATGAATGGGCCAGTGAATGATTCTATGCCTTGGGTCCCAAAGGGCTATACTATCAATAGAACAATAGTAACGAGAAGTATGTGCAGGACAGTGAAGGGAGGTACAGTACAGGAGTCAGTGAAAACTACCTAGTATTTCTAAGTGGGGTTTTGAAGGAGGAAGAGGAGTGCTCCATGCAGACATAATCAAGCACAGCCCCATGGATATGTGCACAGGCAGGGGCATGGGCAACCAGAAGGAGTTGTATTGCCAGAAGGTGAAGTGCAAGGAGGAAGCAAAAGAAGAGTTTGGAAAAGCAGTAAGATCTTTAAGGTCGTGTGCTCCATATGGACTCCATCCTGCAAGGAGAGGGTACAGGAAGGAATTTTTTGCAGAGGTTTAAAACACTGTCAATGCTTACTCTATCGTCGTGGGGAAAATAGACCAGCAGAGACGGCCAGAGAACTGAAGAGTTT